ATATGCTGTGTACCCATGCACACTAACACACCTATTTAAGTGAAATGCATGCTGCTTGACGTTTACAAGTGTTTGCCCTTATTCGATTGACAGAAAAACAATGCACGCAAAATTTAATGCTCATCAGCATGCCCGCTGTGCTATAGATCCTTCCACTCTGTTTGGAGTGAAGCCCATCATTTTATACACCATCTGCTTTCTCTAGAATGATACAGAAGAACAAAAAAGGAGTCCGATGGTAAAATAGAAACACAGCAGGTTCAAACGAAAAAAAAATGGCTGCCTGGAAAGTGTGGTTGTACAGAAGAATGAAGCAGATGCAAGTGCTGGGAAGGCTTAAAGTCTTTCAAAGTAGAAGAGGAAAAGGAAGGAGGCCCGGAATATGAGGTGAGCTGGAAATGCCAGCAGCGCTTGTAGAAAGTCACCTTCAGTCAGAAATTAGCAATGAACACAAGGTTTTAAACATGCAAAGCTGGACCACGCACACACACACACACAAGCACGCACGCACGCACGCACACACACACACACACACACACACACACGCACGCACGCACACACACGCACGCACGCACACACACGCACGCACGCACACACACACACACACACGCACACGCACACAGATTTATGCCTCATTGGTAATGTTGTGTTAATACATGTGAGCATATTAACATTTCATATGCAGATGCATCTCACCCAGCATTTTTGCCTCAAGTTGAAATTAGCGCACGGTGGTATGCAGTGTGCTGGTAGCGATGGTGGCAGTGAGCCTTCTAATATGTCGAGGCACGCCATGTCCCACCGGAGTGTGTGTGTGTGTGTGTGTGTGTGTGTGTGTGTGTGTGTGTGTGTGTGTGTGTGTGTGTGTGTGTTTTTGGGTGTATATATGCGCATCCTGTGGCCGGAGCTCATACCAGTGATGAGGAAGAGAGGGTCGCTAATGGCAAACCTGCTTTATTGGGGAGTAGAGACAATGGAACAACAGCGGATGTCATTTGAGCACGTAATGTCTCCGTGACAAAGTGGTTGTATTTGTAAGTGCGAGGACTTCCAAATGGAAGTAACTTGTCGTAGAATATATAATCCATTACATTTTGCCCAGCTGTTTCCTTTAGGGGTTGCAAATGGTAAATGCATTCATGTGTACAAGTCATATGCGTCAGGAATTTATTGGGGATTGAATATTTGCTCTCCTAGTAGCCTATGCCGAGTTTTCAAACAAATACATATGTATAGACTATAAAAACCAGTGCTATGCAAATTCTCAAGGCCAGCATACATAGAAGGGCATGCAGAGGGGGACAGGTTTAAGAGCACTCAACATGACAGGGAGCCAAAAAACAGTGGGGATAGAAATAAAGGAGTGGTCAAATATGTAATTCTACCCTTTCCTCTGTGCTAATTGTCTTGGCAGGAACCATAACAGAATTTTAATTTGCCCGGTGTTTACCATTCATAACGGATGATCCCATCTCAGTGGAACGCAATCTAATTATTTGCATAAATGCATGGACGTACATGCACCGATGGGAGAACACACACACACACACACACACACGCACGTGCGCACACTCATACGGGCACTGCGCTTCGTACAATGTAATCTAATTAACTGAGCAAGTGTTTCTAACGTGTGCTCCATTTCAAAACAGCCTCTGAACACACTGAACGGAAATTCACTTCCTACCCCATCTGTACTCTTCCGTATATGCATTGTAAGAAGCGGGCCTCCTCATCGTCATTTTTACTTTTCAGTGGTGCCTTCTGATATGAGTGCACCGACTTCCAAATTTTTGGAGACACGAGCCGTAATTCCAATGATTGTTTTTTTTTTTTTTTACTATGACGTAAAAACTAGAGATACAAGCATTGTATGGTGGCAGCGAACTCAATTCAGCTCACAACAGTTTCGCAGATACTGAACAAATCTTGAAAAAAGAGGCTTCATACTGTTAAATGCCAGTCCTACTCGAAGTTAACTGTCAAACTAAACATCAAACAAAAGAGAATTACAGGTACACTGTGCATTTCAAACCCTAACCCTTCGGAAAGTTTGTTTGGCTGAATGCTAACACATCAGTGGAAATGGCATCGAGAGTGGTGGCACAGTGTTCAACTGGTTAGCATGTCGGCCTCACAGCGCAGACATGCAGTGTTCGATTCTGGCTCCGGCCTTCCTGTGTGGAGTTTGCATGTTCTCCCTGTGCCGGCGTGGGTTTTCTGAACGATCTACGATGCCTGCTAATGCTATCTACCCCGCTGGCTAAGTGCAGAACACAGTAGGGGCAAAATGGGGCTTGGGACTGACTAATTGTGTCAAAAAAAGGGCAGGTTGATCGATGAAATAGCAGCACAAAAGGACGAAAACTACTTTGAGGGCTTTGAGGAAAGCGATAGGACCACAATGTGACTTCGTCGTACACAAGACATTGAATGTTTTTTTTTTTTTTTGTCATTCTACACTCTGTGTCTTCATGCCTTTCACGAATAAACAATGATCTTTCGAGATCCTTTGTCATCCTTACAGGCTAGCGTGGTTTTCATCTTTGAAAGTATCACACACTGAAACGAATGTTGAGGTAGTATAAAGCTACATCAGTTTTGGGTCAGAGTGAAGAAAGGTGCCTTTTTCTTGTCTTTGTGAACACGGAATTTTTTTTGCACAGCCTTGGTAAGACAGTGAAGGAGATGGTGGATTTGTTGAGGCCTGAATGCACGGAGCGTTACATTCAGTAGTTCCCCAGAGCCGCAATGTTTACTATTAGACGAGAAAAGACCTCTTTCCACACGGCCTGATGCATGATAGTCCTTTCATTCTCAAAATGATCTGAGTAAGACGACAGTGCAGCAGTGGCTCGAGATACGAGTGAGCCGCCTTGCAACTTTTTTATGACGAGCCCAGATTTTGAAAGCAAAACATTTGAGATACGTATGGTGGCAAAGAACGCAACTTGGGACACTTCACACCAGCAGTTTGGCAGATAGTGACCAGGTCTTCAAAAAGAGGCTTCAAACTTTTAATTGCAGCTCCCAGTTGAAGTTTACTGTCAAACTAAACATGGAACTATGAGAATTACACTTGGTGTATTTCAAACAACCATGTAGCTTTGCTTCAGGAAAGTCCATCTTAATGCCAAAGATGGGCTAACGAAGAGCATCAGTGTCGTGGTGTTATAACCTTTTAAGCAACAGACAGTTGCATAGACAAACAATATAACACTCACAGGAACATATTCTTTATCCTCTGCAAGAAAGGATTAATGCAGTTTACCAAGTCAGTTGTGAAAGACTTCTTCGTGTCTCTCTGTCTTTGTACTGTACTGTCCTCAGGTGGTCAAGGTAAAAGTAACAATGGCCAAAAGTATATTCTTCAGATTCTGTTAAATTATGTCATCACTGTATATTTTTATAAAGTACAACAAGATAGAATGCTTTTTTTCCAAGTGAAAAACAAAAAAACAGGGAGGCTGCCAAAGATGATAGTTCAGTTCATTCAGTTCGCACGGGAAAGATGATTTGAGAATGTTTTGAACCACCCCATATTTGAAAATATGTTGCTGAGTCAAACAACTCATGAAGACATCTCATCAAAAGTGTGTTATTCGCAGTATTTTCACAGATTGATCACATACAAGCAATAACACCAAAAGAATAGGAGCATCGTACTGCTGAGTTCTGGTGACATTTTGGCCTTCTGCCTTAGGTTTTAGTTGGCAATGAGTGTAGTTTGAAATTGGGACACTACCTGAGTTCTGTTAGTTTTCATCATTGATATTACTTGAGTGGCCTTTTGCTCTTAATAAAAGCAAGACAAAAAAAAATCATCACATTTACCACTTACTATGGATCGGCGCGCTTCAAACACACAACACAAAACAGTGCCTATGTATAAGCTGTCACTGGATCGAGTCTGACTCATCAAAGTTTGTCACGCATTTTTTTTCATGACTCCAGTGGTAAAGCCCTACTCACACCATTGTTCTTGAACATAGAAACACTCCTCCATCCTCATGAGCTAACAACTCATTTGTATGAGCACATCCTATTTTTAGGAGACACGGGGCAACATTGGGGACAGTAAAAATGAGGATTTAATGAGACGCATAATTAATTGATGATAAGTGGCTCTAAATTAAGTATAGAAAAGGTCACATTGTAAACAAAAGTGATCCCATGGGGGTCATTAGTGTGTGGCTCCAGAGAGAAGGTCACTGTGGTCACTAAGGTTCTTCCTCAATGGATATTTGAGGTCCCCATTGGATTTGAGCAACATTTCGGTCGGTTCTTATTTTGTTGTTTGGAGCTTGTATTGTGCAAGCCACGTGGGAGGGGCTCACAGTGCATACACTGCAGATACTCCACTTGCTTTTTTTTCGTACAGCACACCAGTCAGCCAAAAGTAATAGTCCACTGCTGGCAAAAGTCAAATAGGGAATCAATGAAAAGAAAACATGCCTTCCATGTCCATTTGCCATGAGGCAACTTTTCAAATCTCTGTTCACCTGGGTGAACAGTGAGCCTTTCACTTCATCTGGCCTTGTGCTTAATTGCACTGACTGTGATTCTTAGTCTTGTTCATATTGCTTCAGTGCGATCTTAATACATCTTGAAAAGGGGCAAAGAAAATTAGGAATGCGTGGAGATGAAAACATGACACCTGCGTGCACGCAGGAGTGCTGTGTCTGTTATGCTGTATGGCCTCGAAATCTTGCATGTAGTATCTAAAAGGTTGCCATGTCCTGAAATGTACCACTTGCTTTGTTCTGGATCAAGTCTGGATACGTACATTGAACGTGTCAGCAGGAACTAACAGGCTTTCTCCATGGTAAAAGAATACCATATAAATATTCTTAAGCTGCTTTTCTCCCATCCTTTCAAGACCACTGAGTTGCTTTGTGTCATTGTTTGCGATATGTATTTCTGCATATGTGCATCGCGCCCACCATAAAGAGAGATATGATGAGCCCGACTGAGTGTGTGTCTGTGTTTTTGTTCTGCAGTGCATGTGAAGGCAGGGACGTGTGAGGTGATCGCCGCCCATCGCTGCTGCAACAAGAACAAGATTGAGGAGCGATCTCAAACCGTCAAATGTTCCTGCTTCCCCGGACAAGTTGCTGGCACCACTCGGGCCATGCCCTCTTGTGTTGATGGTATGTGCCAACTACTTCAATCATCTTCGGTTTCGTGTTGTTGTACTTTAGTCAACGTCAAAACAAGGGCTTACCAACAAAGCACTCAGATCCAAAACATTGATGCTTGCGCTTTGAATCTAAACTGTGTCAGAGAAGTTCTTGGTCTGCAACACTATGATGTAAATGATCAGTTCACCGTAACAGTTACTGGCCAAATATTAAATTAGCCACTTCCATAAAAAGAAACATTCAACGTAACAAATAAATTCGGGGAATGAACTTCAAACAACAGAAAACATACGTGACTTTGTAAACATGACTAACAGCGACACACAACAATGAAATGTTCAAGACTGGCAACTAAATACAAACAAACTGACGAGACAGCAAGGTAAACCTGGACAAGACACGAGTGGTTGCTGATTGGTAGACATGAGGCTGACGAGAATACCTGACGAGTACCTAGATATGACATGAAAAAGGGACACAGGGAAATCATGACAAAACGTGAAATAAAAGATATCTGTTATTCAGTTTTGAGTAGGCCGAAGTCTTTCTCATTTCCACCAGTCACCAATTACGTTCCGGAGAGCTTGGATGAAATTTCCAAACACTCGAAGTGTAAATATGATTACTCAGAGAGAGGTTAATTCTGGTTAGTCAAACTTTGCTTTTAAATGGTGTCTGCTTGCCATACATCCATACCCGTAGCTGAGATTATTTTTATTTCTGATTTTCTAAAGCAGCAAAAACAACTGCACTATAATACAAAAAAAAAAATCGGTGACATTCACCTTTTAAATTATGCATGACATTTGGTGTTTTCTCCTAAATCTCTCAACTAAACATTACAAAAGACTGAATTTGTTCTGCAGGTGAATGCACGTGTGCATAAGTATTAGCCATATTCGCTTGGCAGTACGTCCTACTTCGATATACAGTGGACTGGGGGGCCTAAGTCCAATTCTTTCCTGCCTGTTTGAGATGTTTCCCTGCTCCAACATACCTGATTAAAATGATCAGCTCATCTGTAAGCTTTACAGAAGCCAAAGAACGTTCCTTAACATTTGAATCGGGTGTGTTGGGGAGTGGAAACATGTAAAACAGGCTGGATAGGGGCGGTCAAGGACTGGATTTGGGCACCCCTGATGTTGATGAACAACAGGATAAAATGCTTAATGCACACTGAGTCTTTGTAGACATGTAGAAGTTTAGTATGAAAAAGAAATTGCACTTACTAAATCGAAACCGATGCGCATTGTTCTCTCTCATAAAAGAGCCACAAAGAATGATCCACCGGCTTCAATGATGATGTTTATTTATTTTCACAAATCTGTGTGGGGTGTGTCCAAAGTGTTACTTGTCCTTATTCAACTGTACAGCCAGCACAAATAAACCTGTGCACTTGAATCATTTTTATTCTATTCTGCATTTCAGACCAGCGCTGATAATTCTAATCCCAAAAGATGCATTGCAAAGTGCATTTCAAATCTTTCTGCAAAATCAATATTTTGCACTGTGCGCAGCTATCACTGGTGCTTGATGAAATCCCACCCTAGAGTCTTGGATCTGGTGTGTTTGGTAGTATTTTCAGAATGCAGCAAAGTTTAGGAGTGAATCTGCGAAACACATTCGAGGATTGCAACTTTTGATTTGATCGCCTACATTTTCGAATGATGCATCATAAATACGGTACGAGAACTCAGTCTAATTGTATACAACTTCCAAATGAAGCGGACGTGGAGCAGTATGGCTTTCCAGTGGCCTCATTATAAATAGAAATTACGTCTGTGCACTTGCTGCAAGGGTGATCATTTCTCCAAATTTCCCCAGCACATCTCCTTGTGAAAAAAAAAAAAAACTGCCATGCCGTTTAATGGGGTAATTAATCATTCGGTTCCATCTTACGCGAATCAATTCCTTCTGTTTCCACCTGCTGTTGATGATGATGATGTGATTTGAGGCCTTCAGTGAATGCAGAAAGAATGACTGAATGAGTAAGACACAACATGCATAAAAAAAGCAGTCAAAACGTAACAATGTTCAATCAATTCCCATCTGGTTGAAAAACGGAAAGACCAAAACTGTCAAGACCGATACGTAAAAGTAATGGGTCCATCAAAGTTATTTCTCACAAAACTTCGAAACTGCTTGTGTTGCGTAACATCTTCAAAATTATGAAGACCCGCTGAAAGTTTTTGTCTTTCAGTTTTTTGTTATGCTTGGGTCTCTTCCCAGTGGATTCAATGCGTTTAGTTCAACAGACAAAGCAACAGCTGTGCTACAATGTAAACGCTAATCCTTCAATTACCTGAGATTTGCAGTGACGTGCTCATTCAAATTTGAACCAATATTCACGTGTCTGAGACCGATTCTAGCCCCTCTCTGTGATAACAAATCCAAATGCTCTTGATGCTTTTGAGCGCTTTCCTCTGTGATGTTTGCTGAAGGCATACATTCATTTTGATCTGATGTGATGTGTGGCGCACAAATCTGCTTGCAACCCCGAAAGATCACAACACATTTCAGATGGCTGATGCATATCTTGCCCCCAGTTTTGTCCTTTTGGATTTGTTTCGGATATGCAAATGATCCCCTGATTACATTCGCATGACATGATAGTCGCCATTGCCGTCACTCAAACAAGTATCATAAAGAATAAAAACACACAGAACATAGAAAATTTTTATTTAAAAATCCACATGTTTAGTTTGAATATAAATAAGGAAGCAACAATGCTTTTACCGAAAAGTAAAAAGCGATTAAAGAACCACTGTTTTAGTCATAGAGGGACATAATCAGTTTGTAAATGAGACTTGTGAAGCTTGAGGGCGTTGCATGAGTAATGACATGTGAAAGCGCTACTGTCTATATAGAGACTGAATTACAGTAGTTTTCAGAAAGCTTGGTCTCTTGCAGAAGAGCGGCACGTTCATGCTTGGAATCATCAATGAATCAATTTGTACTCATATGAAGTGGGGTCCTCTCTCTCTCTCACTCTCTCTCTCTCTCTCTCTCTATCTCCTCCACTCCCACCTCCTCCACTCCCTCCTC